CTATAAATTGGCTTGAGACATCATCAGAATAGATTATACGAAGATATAAGTGTGAGAAAACCTTTTTATATGCACACTTTTGTTAAGAAGAACAGCAACTTAAGAATGCCAACAAAGTAAATAAGATTATGGCACATATTTTGAATAAAAATTTTGAAAAAATAACTTGCAAAGTTGTTAATTCGAGTGAAAGTCATGTTTAAGATTTTAGAATCCGTTTCTCACTTTTTATACGATCACCGTACATAGTTTTAAAATCACTTAATATGGCTTATCAGACCATTTATAACTACTTTTTTTTTTTAATATATTGTCAAAAGTTTAAGCACTTCCGGTGAAGATAGTGGCGAAGTAATCCATTCTTTTTTTATTATTTTCATGAAAACCTTTAATATCTTTTTACTCTTTTGCAAATTATTATGGAATGACATAAAGAGAGAGTGGAAATTTACTATAGCTCATATGCGTGCTCTGTCTTCATATCGTTGGCTGTACTCCTCGTACATTTCTGATAACAACCTTTTCCTATTAGGACCGGAGATAACGTCTTTCGGAGGTTTTCACGAAACGAAAATTACGTTTTGGTAATGATCGAGTTATTTCGATTTACAGAAAATCGTGAAATGTTATTCATTAACGTGCTAGATGGTTCGAAGAAGTTTTTGAGATATATTTGCATCTGGCTTAAAGAGATTCTCCTCTTTTTTTTATTTTTTATTTTTCCCCTTTTTCCTCCGATTTTCTCTTATTTTCTAGAATTCGTAAAAGTCAATAATTTTCTTCTCTAAAAGGAAAATTCTTCCATCTAAATTACCTTTGGTTGGTTTTCTGTTCATTTTATGTAACCGATGCTTAGTCTGCTTCGCCTTCTATCTACTTTTACTTGCAAATCACTTTCTCCTCTTCCAATGAGACAAATTTGCTCTGACTCCCCTTGCGATAGATCAACTAACTCAATATCGACAAAGTAGACCCTCTACTGCCTTATCCAAACTTCCGTCTCTTTAAGGTCATTAAGAGAATTAACTAATTAATCTCAACTGTCTTTACCTTGAGAATAGTTTTGTTTGATGAGTACCTATTTTATAAGCATGTTTTCTGATTTTTAATTTTATTTCTCTTTCAAAGTTTCAATTTTCGCATACTTATCCTTCTCTTTTTTATCTCTCCTGCTTAAATAGATTTTTGTTTTTTTATTATTAATTTAAAGGAAATTAAATTACTTTATTTACAACGGAACTTAATTGCGATCACGACAAAATTTCCATTTGTTTCAATTGTAACCGTGCTTAATCTTTTCAACTATTATTCAAATGAGCTTTTCTCGAACGTACTTAATCTTCTCCCCCTCTTTTTTTTCTGGATTATAGATCAAAGAATGGAGGTTTCTTTCCACTTACAAGCAAATTTGACAAACTGAACATAAATCAAAATAATCCATACGCATAGAACAACCCACCTTTCTCGGCAGCACTTTACTAATATAATCGATAAAGTTGATGTATTCGCTGGAGTATAGAATTGTCATACGTAATCTATAGAGTTACATTACATAATATTTAATCCGAGGATAATAGTTTAAAAGGCGAATAAAAAATTGGCATAATTGTAGATTTTTTTTTTTTTTTTGCATTTCGCTCCTCTGCCTAACAACCGCATCCATTGAGAAATATGAAGGAGGCATTACAGAAGGTATCAGGAGGGAGGAGGATATTCTAAACTAGCCTATACACTTACAGGGCGAGTGTATAGTGTTCGCAGACACTGACGATGATTCAGAAAGCAGGGGACGAGTTGAAAAACGTCGATAGCGTACCGAACATATTACGATTGATTTATAGCAGAGAGCCGGGATGTCTCCCAAACCCTGCAGACAGTTTCCAAAGGGCCAAAGCAACGATTACGGAAAAGATGGCTGTTTAGTGGCGCGACGTGATCAGACTGCAGACAACTGACAATATCTATCTTCCCTTTTTCAATCCTCTTTTGCAAAGCCCCCCTTTCCTATTCTGCTAATTTCTGCGTCTACCTTATGCAAATTGCTGACGTGCTTCACAATTCTAACTCTGGTATCGTCCTCCCTGGGTTATTAAAGGTGTAGGTCATTAATGCATTTATATTATATATATATTTTTTTCAATTTTAGTAATTTAACGCGCTTTTGTCAGGTTTTAGCTTTATATAGACTTTCGAAGCTAATTTTGTAGATGTTTAGAGAATATTAAGCTCCTATGCTTATTTTAGGAATTGATGTTTCAATAGAAACTTTATGAGTTTATAAATATTAAAGTTATAAGCCGTATAATCATTTTCGAAATTGATGTAATCTTTATTATGATAAACCTCGTACGTTTATGGTGCATTGCTGATGATTTTAGTGAAATTATCATCACGAAGATTTAAATAAGAATTTGTGCACATAATTATAATAAAGCTAATCATTCTAAACATTCAACTAAATCGTTTATATACATTTTCATGAAGATTTCCAACATTATCGTACCGAAACAATGATAGCATCATGATAATTTGTTTTATCATTTATCTTCGTTCGTATCACGATTCTTTATATTATCAATTAAAAAGTATTATTATTATATTTCTATATTTAATAATAGAGATAGACAGAGATGATATCTAACATTAGAGGATAGAAAGTCATCTAAGTGAGTTTGAATTTAACGATTAAAAAAACCTAAATCTATACATTTCGTGAGTGATTTTTCTTTTACAGAATTGCTCTTCTAACGCCGGAAAATAATTATTACACCAGTAACAGATTGGCTCCATTCCCCTCGGATCCCGACGCATTTCGATCGAGTAATAGGACCCTGCCATAGACGGTCAAACGATTTCGTGACGAACACAGAAATTAGTTTAGTCACGGTAGCTGTGAGCTATCGTATCATCCACCCTAATGTTTAATAGCAGTTCTGAATGTCTCTCTTCCTTTCGATAAGAGTTTAAACACGTTCTTCACAAACACCTATTAAGAAGAAATCATAAAGTCGAAAAGACTTTCGGAAAAAAATTCGTATAAAAGTTTTAAAAAATCGTGATTAAAAATTGAACTTCGGTCATGTAGAAGTATCTTATGTAGCAATTTGAAGGCTCGTCCCTAGAGTTGTCCGATCCGCATGTTACTCTAATCCTGCAAATACCCCAGGATTACTCGCATTGCGTCATGCGATGACATCAGTTCGATGCTCGAGCGTATTTGACAGACATGATCCCTCACTGCGTTTGACGTCTAGTTGCTATAGCAAAGGTTAGGAGTTCCGGAGGTCCTGCAGGTTCGGGGCCCTTTTCATTAGCCATCGTGGGCCTCTTTCGGGTGAGTGCAGAGATATAAAGGCTTTTTACTCGACGGGTGGTCGGGATTCTATGATATAGGCCGAGGGAACGAAGAGATATTATGTCCATTCTCTTGTTTCTAAATCGTTTATGGTGTTTCGTTTCCGTTTTACACGGTTACAAACGTTAAAAATCGCTTTAATATTTTTTAAAAATTTCGAAATTTTATTATCAAAATTATAATTATTCTAAGAGTTGTTAGCATTTCTTGCAGCAAAATTTTCTTTGAAATCAATTTCTGCTTGCAATTTTCCTCGAAGTTTTAAACTAAAAAGTTTTTCTTTTTAAAAAAAATCTCTCATCTTATTGAAGATAGAAAATTATTAGCTGCAAGTTTATTGAAATTTCAAAAATTCTTACCATCGTTCGAGATCTTCTATTAGCCATAGCGAACCTATTTCGGATAATGCATAGATATAAAGACGTGGTAGGTGGTCCTGGATCGACAGAGCACAAACTGTGAAGCTGAATGCTTTATCGATACAAGATTTTTGTGTAGGTTTTTCCCTCTTGAATTTTTCAAGTTGCTGAGGTTACGTCTGTCCAATTGTAAAAGTGTCTGACAACTTCTGTTGTATTGCACAATAGAGGCGGTCAAAAGATCTCTCTCTTTCTCTCTGACGTATCTGTTGTCTGCGAGACGACAATGATTAAGTCTTATGGACTGTCAACACCATATTGCCACGTCACGTTTCAAATACCTCCAAAAGAAGGACAATTTTTTTGACATTTTTCGTCCATCATTTTCTTCGAGAAATTCTTTCTTAATAAAAATTAAAAAGTAATCAAAATGTCTTTCTAATTTTTATCATTTATGTAAAATATTCTTTATAATTCAAGCGCCATTTTATAAATTTAATAATTTATAAATTATACAACTTGCTCTTGTATGATTTTAATATAAAAATATTTATCCGAATAAGATCCAACGTTAAAATTCAATTCTCATTTTAATTTTGAATTTTTTAAAATAATTCTTTAATTTATTATAAAATTTACGAAATTTTTATGATTTTTATTCAATTTCATAATTTACGATTTAAATTCAAATATTTAAAATTTAAAACAAATCACTCTTTGTTTTTTATTTATTTATTTATTTTTTACAGGATTACGAATCTTATTGGTCGATCTTTAAATTCGTCATTTCATAAATGAATCATTATTGGTTAAAATTTAAAAATTTAAATCATCTCCGATGATAAGTCTTAACGATTAATATTTGAAAAACGTCATACTATAAAAATCACTAAAGTATTCTTTGTTGAAAACGGAAGCTCCTCCTATTCATTAATATTTAAAATTATTATACTTTTACTATTGGTCGATATTTAAAACTAAGAAGGAAAAAAAACCACGCAATATAATCGTGTAATAGCTCCTATTGGTTAACGAGTAAATTACAGTCAATTTCTTTTATTTGATAACGACTTCTATTGGTTGACAGTTCGACGTCATATTTTAAATTATTTCTCGATGTTTATTAATCGATATTATGGAAAAATAGAACGTTTTATCGTTGGAAACGATGAAAATTTATTTATTTTGATAAATAAAATTGATGAAGATCATTAAAAATTAAATTTTTTCCCCCTCCTTCTCGATCGATTCTTTTATCTTATTGAATTGTTTTCTCCCTTATATAGGTGATCAGCGGATGAACTAATTGGAAATTTGATCGCTGCCTAGCAAGAAAGATTGTACCTACTTCGATAAACATCTAATCTGATGTAATTATTTTCCAGCATTAATAAAACCAAGCCTATAAATGTTTACAAATCTTTTAATGTGATTTAATATGTTACAACTGTACTAATTCCATACATATATATATATTTATTTATTTAAATTTAATTAAAAAAAATTAAAAGAAATATGTAAATAATAAATTCTAAATGATAATAAAATTATTTATATTTTTATAATAAAGTATTTTCGTTATTTTATTAAAAAAAAACATGTGGCTGGACCAAAAGTCAGTTAACCAGATATACTTGTAAATATACAAACTGAGTGGATTAAAAACATGATATAAATTACAATTAATTTAAAATGTTTTTTTTTTATTACTTCAGTAATTGTAATTTAATATTAAAAAAATAAATAAATTATTTATTTAATTACATTTTAAGTAATGGTTAACTAACTTTTGAATCACTTTGTATATTTACATCATCTACATAAGTTGGGAATTATATTAAAGTTTTATAGTTCAAAATATATACCTTTTTTTTACTGTAAATAATCCTTTATAACACCGTTAAATCCTTTTACTTTATTTAAACTGATATTGTAGAGAAAATAAATTTAAATATTAATCTATAACAGGCAATTTAAAATTTTTAAAAAATGTTTTATAAAATGATAAAATTATCCAAAATTCGACGAAGAAATGTTAATAAATTTGTAAATAATTTAATTAAAGGATCAAAAAGATATTTTTTAAATAATTTTTTGTATAAAAATCGAAATATTTTTACTTTTATTATATATATTTTTTAGAATTTTGGGATTTATGATGGATATAAAAAAACAACCTCCGATTGGTATTACATGAAATTTTCTAAAATTTAATACTTTACTGAGATATTTTGAGATAAGTTTTCTACTCTTAAAAATTAAATTTATATTAAAAAAAAAATACATTTTTCAAAAATAATTTTGTTTTTCTTAAAAACTTTAAAAGAACAATTTCATTTATTTGCATATTTTAAAAAGTTTTTAAATGAAAATATTCAAAAATAAATAAAACATTTAAAAAATATATCAAGACATTAAAAATAAAATTCTTACTTAATTCGAGTTATAAAAAACTTTACATTTTTTTAATATTATAAATATGCATAAAACTTTTCTTGTAAATTTAAAAATAAATAAAAAATTTATTTAATTTTTTAATTAATTTTATACAAAATAAAAACTGCTAAAAGTTCGATTTTTAAAAATTTATTGTTATTTTTTTTTTTTGACAATTTAAATTCTATTCGATCAAATATCAAGACATTTCCTTGCATCTCTACTAAGTCAACCCTCTATAAATCACATCTTTGAGATTGCAGCTGCTTTATAACCAGTGAAAGGAGACCAAAAAGGGGAAGATTAGAGGGGAGAAATGTCGACGAAGATAGTGTCAAGTGTGCAGTCTTGTCACCTAGACCAATGACCAAAACTTTAGCTCTGTCATAAATAAAAACCTCGTCTTTACCTCTATACTATATTAAAACTTTTTCTATAACTTCCTCCTTTAGTATATAAGAAGAAGAATAATTTGCTACACTTTGTATAAATTTATAATTTACGATGTAAAGTTAACTTCTAAAAAAAAAAATAATACAAAACTAGATACGATAATATGTTCAATTTAATATCGATAGATTAAATTTAAAGTGTTTAT